ACCTTTCTTCCCCATACTGATGCTCGGTTTGAACTGCAGGAGATTGTCTTGACCATGTCTACATGCCTAAATGCACTGAGTTGCCGCCATGTGATTAGCTGCTTAGAAATGAAGTGTTAACGAGCAGTTGGACAGGTGTACCTAATAAAGTGGCCGGTGAGTGTACATGTCAGATTGAATAATACTACTTATACTTCAGCGATAGTATCAAGGTGCCACTTTATTGTATCTCTTATTCTTTATCCGTTGGTTGTGCTGTTCTTTTTACATCTCTTCACAGGTGATGAAGGAGACTGAAGATGTTTTATCTTTGTCTCCCTTTCATCTCTTCTTTCTTTCATCTTTTCTCCTTTTTTTTAGTTTCTAGTCTAGTCTGTTCTACTTTCCCATTGCAGTGTCCATATAATCTGTAATACTTCCTCCATGAATTATAATAAAGCAATTTATATGCATAAATCAAGCGGTACACGATGGCGACAGCCGTACTGCTCCACTTGTGAAAGCAAAATCTGTTGGGCTCCTTTTGGCATTAAGACAATTATACTTATTGCCACATTATCAGACAGGACACTGTAAAAAAAAAAAAAAAAAAGATAGCAGACTCATAAATATGGAGGGCGGTGGGGTTTTTATCATACAAACATGTCAAACTCAACAGATAAATGCATAAAAAACTATGTTTGCAAACATGAAAAATGAAATATTTTTATTTCAAAATATAGAGTGTTTTCTAAGTAGAACCAGAAATGCTGGCTTTAGTGTTCAAATAAATGCAAAAGAACCCAAATATAACAAAATCTGACCAACATGTTTAAGAATGCCAAAGTATTATTCTTTCACTGTGCAAATAAATCCAGAAACCTGAAATAAACAGTGGATAAAATACGCAAACACACTTTTTTAATTGATGCAATGCATAATTGGTATTGTATCTAGATACAGTAATTGAGTATTTTCAACCCTACAGAGCAGGGAGTCCTGCTAAAGACCTTTTAAACCTGTGATGGCATCAGCCATCTTTGATGGTGTGGTATGCTGGAGCAGCAGTTTATGTGCAGCTGAGAGGAAGAGGCTGGATAAGCTCATTAGGAGGGCTGGCTCTGTCCTAATACGGCCCCTGGACACAGTGGAGGTGGTTGGAGACAGGACTGTAAGATTGCAACTCTTTGTTTGACAATATCTCCCTGTATAAGTGAAGCTGTGACAGAACCTGTGAGCATCTTTAATGACCTTTAGACCCTAAACTAACAAAGGCGTGAGGCCACAGGTCCTTCCTTCCATCTGCTGTGAAAAAGTAGTCGTCACTGCTCCTAAAAGGCCAATAATTATTTGCAGTTTCCTTATCTGATTGAGGCTTTTTTCTTTATGCATAAATTTGCATTTTATTTGAACTTCCATGCCCTGTCTCCTCTGATATTTAATAACTTCAGTTTTGCTTTCAGTGCATTAGAAGTGTTATTCTGTTGTATTGCAGCTTAACCTTTAATCTCAGCATGCATTTATTGCATGCAGAATTTAGTTCCCTTTAGCTAAAAAGTCTAGATTTTCTTTTCCATATTATTTTGTCTTGGGTGAACCTCTGTTCTCAGACAGACCTAAACTTTGCCCTCTTTGGGACAAAATATTCCTTGGTTCTATGTGGACAAATAGCTGCTTGGGTCTGAACTGGAGGGACAAATGTACTGGATGACGACTCGGTATACAGACAGCGGACCCAGAACGTGGTGGTCTGGTGCCAGCAGGACCACCTTCTGATTAATGCAGATCCACCAGTCATCTGAATAACAAACAGGACTGAACCCACAACACTGAGGCTCTGTATAAGAAAGGTCAGAGCAAACTCCTCCTGCTGAGGAGACCAAGGTCTGTTGGAGAGCAGGGGGCGCTCCTAAAGACCTTCTATGACTCTGTCGAGGCATCAGCCATCTTCTATGGAGCTGTCTGTTGGATTATCTGTAGCTGAGAGAAAGCAGCTGGATAAGCTGATCAGGAAGGCCAGCTCTGTGATTGGATGCCCTCTGGACTCAGTGCAGGAGGTGGGAAACAAACAGATCCTAAATAAATTAAAATCTCTGTTGGATAATGTCTCTCCCCCCATGCATGAAGCTGTTCTGAAACTTTAGGGCTCCTTCAGTGACAGACTGCTGCACTCTAAATGCACCAGGAAACGCTATCACAGCTCCTTCCTCCCAGCAGCTGTAAGACTTTATAACCATCACTCATGGGCGGTTCTAGACGGGGCCAATGGGGGCCAGTGCCCCTGTAGATCATATCCTGGCCCCTGAACCGAAGATATAATACTAAAAGAAATTCTAATAATGATATGCACTGGTTACTAATAGGTCCTTTGGATCCATTAAATTTTTTTTCTTTAAAAAATTCTGTTTTACTAATTATTTACAAACAAAAAGGCTATAGCTTCAGTGGTATTAAGATAGGATCCCAGTTTTTATTAAAAAATACTTTTTTTTACAGCTGAATTTATTTGATTTTTTTATCCCGATTTTATAGAAAACTGTAATTTTAACTTAAATGAAGTTAAAAATATGTAAAACTCCTAAATTCTGAATGTATATTGACCTAATATTCCAAAAAATAGCTTTATATGATCTTTTAGATATTTATATAGCTACGGGATTTATATTTTCAAGCCAAAAATAAATATTTTCAACTGATTTCAACTAATTGAATGGAAATTTAACTTGCTGCAGCTCCCTTGGCCTGTTTTTTTGTTTCATGAAAACCCCTCCTGAGCGCCCTGGTACATTTGGTCTAGAACCGCCACTGCCACCACTGTTCCCAACTACCTCAATACGTTTTTACATTCATGCTGACTTTACAGTTTCTACCTTAGTCAGCTAAATATCATGCTTCTGTCATTTTGTACATCTCTGATGTTGCTATTTTTTAAATATCTATTACTGTAAAAATGTCCATAGCTGTATAATGGCTATTCTTTCTCCAGGTGGTTTTTAATATTGTTAAAACACTTAACAGTACAGTATTTTGTTGTTTATCTTTTACATTTTTCTAAGGTCCAATTTTTTCTATCATCTTTCTGCAGCTGTAAACACCACAATTTCCCCACTGTGGAACAATAAAGGGATTTTCTATTCTATTCTACTGACATACATGTCCTATTATTAAACCTTATTCATCTGAACTAATATGTCCGGTTGGAAAGACATCCATCCATCTTCTTCCGCTTATCCGGGGCCGGGTCGTGGATGCAGCAGTCTGAGCAGAGGTGCGGAGACTTTCCGATCCACATACGGTTCCTCCAGCTGCTCTGGGGGGACCCTGTGGCGACACCAGGCCAGCTCAGAGACAGTCCCTCCAGTGTGTCCTGGGCCTTCCATGAAGCCTGGAACACCTCCCAAGCGAGGCGACCAGGAGGCAACCGAAACAGATACCCGAGCCTCCTCAGCTGGCTCCTTTCGACGTGGAGAAGCAACGACTCTACTGAGCTCCTTAACCTCATTAAGACTATATGTTGAACTGTTAAGCATGGTGGAAGTAGCATCATGATGTGGGCAGATGAAATGCAAACTGGCATTTTTCTTTTTACTTAAAATTGGCAGTGGGATGATTAAAACTTTGAGGAAATTTTACCGTTTTAAATATTAATACAATATAGTGGTTAAAGATCCAGCTATAAAAGTGCAGGAAGCATGTAAATCCAAATTCAGTGAATGACTTCTATTATTTTCCCATCTTTAAAATAAAAACCCCTCTGTCAATCGCTCTGGTGTTGGCATTATGGCGTGGCCTTAAAAAAGTTCCATACGGCAGGTTTAATTAATCCAGTAAAAATAATAGTTGGAAATAGAGCAAATTTATAAATCAAACAGCTAAAGAAAAGACTGAAATAACCAGACAGGAAAAAGGGGGACATATTTTCTCATAATTATTTAATCACACATACATTTACATCATGCAGTCAATCCAAAACTGTGATCTCATTTTACTTCCCGTCTCTGTCCATATCAGAGCCCTGCTTTTACTTGTGCCTCAGTTCTCCAGGAATGATCCAGTACCAAGTCCACTGACAGATCCCCCCCCACCCCCCAAAAAAACAAAAACAAACCAAAAACAAAACAAAAACTGTCCTTTAAAAATCGACCAACTATTACACAGTAATAAAAAAAGGCTACACTTTTGTTTGAATTTAGAATCGATGCAAAAACTCAATTTCGCTAAACAAGTACTTTTCTGGAACCCATTTCAAATCCAGTTTATTTTTTTTGGTGGAAGAAGGATCTCAGAATTAACATTTTAATTATTATCACAGACGTCTAGATAAGACAAGCGCAGTCCTGTCGTAGACACGGGGGGAGATAATCCTCTCTGCAGGTTGTAAAACATTTAAATTACTCACAGGGCTTTGGAAACTTCTTTATACCTCCGATCTAAAACAGCCACATATGGAGTGTTTCAGTTTTTGTTTTTTTTCCTTTTGAAGTGTGAAAAAGTTCTGCAAAAAACCCGACTTTCCTGTCTGAACGCGACACCTTCGAGAGAAATCCCATCCTGGTTCCAGAGCGCTCTGCTCCATTGAGGCCTCTTTAATCTGTTTCCATGATTAAGCTGAAAAGGATCGTTTGGTGGTTTTTTTCTCTTCAGCGTTTATGTTGAGCACAAAGAAGCCGTTTTATGATTCAGGTTTCCAGTGATGAAAGAGGCCTTCAATGAGTAACAAAAAGAGGTGTGGCTGGATCACCGCAGCAAATACTAACTGACCGACATACAGTGTATCTTACAGTATATTGCACTTATGCAAGGTGTTAGTGTTCTTATGCCGGGGTTACAGTCCCCATCAGCTGTCCTGCCAATGCACTGGGGCTTTTCATGATAAAAAAAAAACAAACAAACAAAATAAAAGATGTAATAGGAACCAAATAAAAAATTAGATAACAACAAAACACTAAAGAAATCCTACACCCGCTGGTTAGATTTACTTAAATAAACCCTTTCTTCCACAAGATGATCAAAGATTATTGTGCAATATGTGGGGTTTTCTTTATTTGGACCCTGCTTTCCCTGACTGGCTGATCAGCAGCGAGGGTCCGATCCATCTACTGATACACACCTCCCCCTCTTTTTCAACTTTCTATCAAACATCTACACCGTCTACTGAACAAAAACACATAAAACCCAGCTTAGGTCTTACATCTAAGAAAAAAAAACAAAAAAAAAAGGAGGAAGATGAATGTAGAAGCGAGGCACCCTTGTAAATAAATCATGACGTTGGATCAGAGCTCCTGGATACATGTGGGCACCCGGCTAGAACAGGACGAAGATGGCGACTCTGTCTAATCAGCTGCAGTTTATGTGCTGAGATTTATAAATAGTCTATAACAGCGACATTACCCACTTAGGTGCGTTAAAAACATTACATTTAACAACTTAGTGTGGGCTAAAAGGTGGAAGTTTGTGTTAACGGCATCATTCTAACCCCTCCCCCCGCCCTTCATCTCTCTACATTATTCATATCCTTCCAACGAAGCCATAGATAACAAGTATAGTTTTAATTTAACTTAATGATAAAAACAATTGGCCTCCACAGGTATTTCGTTAAATACATCTACAGTACAGCTGTTGCACGGCTTTGCTTTTTTTCTTAAATTATTTTTCAGATTCTTCCTTTGCGAGACGCCTCCTTGCAGCTTTCTCTCCAACCCGTGGGAAACGTGCAGCAGTGCTGATTTTACATCTGTACAAGAGGAGAGCACGGGACACCTTTGACTGGATGCTAAATCCTCCTTTATGAAGCATGGAAAATCTATACAGAGAGATCTGACGTTTTGATATTAAGAATGAAAATGTACAGAAGTTAGCCTAGAAGGTCGAGCTCCTCTTCTTTTTTTTTTGGTCTTTTTTTCCCCCTTCCCCCGTTTTAGGCGTTTTGTTTTCTTGCTACCGTTTACATTCAGCTTGGCACAGTGCAGAACTACTCGCACAAAGACGACGGCTGATGACAGACTGTGCAAAACAAAGATGAAACCGAAGCTTAAACATTCGAGATCGTGCACTGGGTTCGCTCGCAAGAAAGGCTGCGCTCGAGACAGCGTTTGGTTTGCTGAATAATATCATCATCCTGCATTATGTAAAGTAAAATTGCTCTTTTTCTTTTTTTAATATTATATCCCGTAAGAGAAACAGAGATATTCATTGTGAGAACTGAAGGAAAGGGGTGGGAAGGTGGGTGGAGGTGTTTGGAAGGGAAAGGGGGTTGGGAGCTGTACAGGCCGGGAAATATTTATATATATATATTTATAAATCCAAAACTCCTTCATGGCTCCATGGAGCCTGTTTGCTGTAATGGAATGACAGGTTGTCTGGGTGGGCAGGTGGGTGACGGTGGCTTCCTCTGTGGTGTTATTCTTCTGTTCTGCTGCTCCTCAGCTGTAGAGTAGAAAAAACAACAAAAACAAAAACACAAAGCTGTCAAGAATACATCAAAGTGAACGAATCAAAACTATCAAGTCAATCAAGATGAAATAATAAACTTTATGTCAAATCTAATGAAAAGTTTTAAACATCTTTGGACCTTTTCACACTTTGTCATTTCGTTAACAAAAGCTTCAACGTTTCTAGTTGGGTAAAGGCCAATTTATGCTTCTGACGCATTGCCTCTGCAACCGTCAAATCAGTCTCTGTGCCTCAAAAAAATCTTGACTATGCATCGGATGGTCGCAAACACGCGCAGACCTCAAGCCGAATTGTGCAGAAAAACGGCAATTGTGATAGGTCCTTGATATGTCTTTCCGTCTGTCTGTGTGGTCATCTTTCTCGATTCGGAGTGCACCATTTTTAAAAACCAAGGAACAACTACAATGGACAACTATGACGAAAGGTTAATCGAGGAGGTTCGGAAGTACAACCACTTGTAGGATGCCTCATACAGATTATATAGATATATCCCCTTCGATGTCTATGTACTCTAGATCCATCTCCGTGACATCTAGAAGACGCGCCATTGTTGTTTTGGGAGATAAACACTACCTCCAACACCGTTGAAGTTCTCGAAAGGGTCCCCCATGCTATTTGGTGGGAAACTGCTCTGCGTCCCTAGAAATTCCAGACAGAATGGTTCAGGACCAGACCCAAGCAATATTTGATGTGTGCGGTTGCAGAAGTATAATCTCCCCTTAATTCATATATTAAAATATAAAGGAGAACATGCACAGGCATTCGGCTATGTTGCATGCATCTCTTCTGCATCAATAATTCGCATGTCTCTGCAAACTCTGCACTAATACAGGCTGGAGGTAATAATTATTAGCTGAAGCTTAGCCAGACTGGATGGAGAACATCTGAACACCTGATTTAGGGCTGCACTTTGACAGGCCTGGGCGATTCATTAGACAAAACACAATTTTCACATGAGAGGGACCCAATTTTGACAAGAGTAAAGGATGATTTATACTCAGAAAGCAGGTCGTCTGCATGTGTCGCAGTAAACTCAGACCCACAGCTAGTTTGTGATTTCCGTGCGTTGTGGCGTGGAATAACATATTGGGCATAAATAAAAAATATCTGCGAGAAACTAACTGCGACACACTGCTGCTGGAGGACAACCAGCACTTAAGACAGACTCTCTCACCCTGGCCTTTAGGGGGCAGTAATCGACCTAAAATGGGTTTTCCACCACAGAGGAGATAGAGTAGGATCTAACACACAGATGCAGGCTTTTAATGTCATGAAAAAAATTGACACTGAAGTTAAACATCTTCAGGGTTGTGGTTAGTGGAAAGAAAAATCTAAATAAAATTGAAACAGTGGCTGAAAAAAACAAACAAAAAAAAACTGGCATTTTGATTTTTGGTAAAGTGTTCAGTCCTAACCGGGCCATTCAAAGTGTGCAAAGAGTGCAAAATCATTAAAATATCCATTTTTTATCCTTCTGCTGTAAAGCCTAACTTTATTTTTTTTAATTCTTTACTTAATTCTTACAGAAGTCATTTGTGCCACTGTCACACTCATATTTCCACACTGAGCGCCAAAAAAGGCGTGTCTTATCTTCCTGTTCCCTGCTGAAATAAGGCATCCCAATACTGCGACGCAAAGACAACATGATATTACATGCTGGTCAAAGTTTGGTTTCGGTCCAGTCTGACCAGGTTTGCAGTGTTCTCTCACTGGGCTCTCCTACATCCGTCTTTCAGCCTACCATGTGGATTAATCCTGACCTTGACCTCAGTTTAAGGTGGATTTCCATGTCTGATGAGTTTGCCATTGCGCCATTCTCTTTCCATTTCCAGATGCTGAATTAATCAGAGCTCTGAGATATAGAGAGCTGGTTTGGCTTTTAATTCCTCCACAGCTCTGTCTCTGATCTGTCTGCCCTGCCTTTCATTTTTTTTTACATTCACTGATGTCGTCTAAGGTTTTGAAAACTGTCTTTTAGTTTAACATAATATGGGAAATGCAAAAATAAAGTACTTATTTAACACCTTTTCAAGGCTACAGTATTACATTTGATTGCCAAGGGTTAGACAACGTTTATCAGACTAAATTTAACAAAGATTGTAAAGATTTACGCCCTAACTCGTCATTTTCCTGCACATTAGTCGTCGTCTCCACTCACATCTTGTCAGGCTTGCTGCTTCCACCCCTGATGGACACCGGCTGGCTGTTCTGGTAGAAGCCGCCTCCGCTGCGGTTGATGTTTGGGTGGGTTGGAGATGCCACTGGAGGCTGCCCGGGTCGGATGGGTTTGGCTAGAGGAAAGGGAGAAGAGATTTTGCATTTTATTGCTGCTTCAAAAGCAACCATTAGATCAGTTGTCCTCCTTCTCCGCCTACTAACCAATCTGAGCCGAATGTCCCCTCCGGGCCATGTTCTTGGCCCTGACGGCCTCCTTGATGCGGTCCACCTCCTGCTGGTAGCGCTTGCGGTCGCGGGCGGCGTTCTCCTTGGCCTCCTTCAGTGCAGATTCCAGTGCCTTGACCCGCTCAGCCGTAGCACGAAGACGTTTTTCCAGTTTTGGAAGCTCACAGCGCAGGTCTGCATTATCACGAACCAGCTGGGGAGAAGAAAACCGAAGCGCTGGATTTAAAATAGTTCTCATCAAACAGAGAAGAGCATCAAAGGGAAACATCACATCGATAAATATAATAGTTAATAAAACAGAACGAGCATCATGACAACTAGGATGTTAAAAAGGATCTGCACTGCAAAAACTAGCTAGAAATAAGTAAAAAAAAAAAATCTTAAATTAGTTATATTTAGCCTTAATTTGAGTTGGTAAATAAGATGATTTGCCAATGGAATGAGTATTTATACTCTTAAAATAAGATAATTAGATAATATGGACTTGTAATAAGACAATGCAATTGTTTTTTTTTTCTTATCTTAAATGTAAATTGTCTTTTTCCATCGGCAAAGTGTCTCACTTACCTCAATTCAAGAAAAAATGCACGTATTTTAAGAAGAGTTGACTAATTTACATTTAAAGTTTTTGCAGTTTGGTCCTGGAAATGAAACTCTCACCTGTTTGTGAACCTTGGTGAGCTGCTCCAGATTGTTCTCAAGAAAGGAGATTTTCTGTTTTTGTGCGGCGCTTCCTCCTGTGTCATCAGAGTCCATCTCAGCACTCTGAGGGGAAAAAAAAGAACAACTTATAAGTAAAAATAAAATCAACCAGTGCCACAAAGAAAGGCAAAAATCAACCGGTCACCTTTTTCACTCTGGTGGCCAAATCTTGAACAAAGAGTTTCCTCAGGTTGTGGAGAGTCTGCAGCTCTTTGGCCTGCAAAGAAATAATCAGAGTAAAGTTAGGAATTGAATCCAAATTAACATAATATTCTCTAACCCTGTGGTTTAGGATCCAGTGAACTCACCACTGTCTCCTCGAGCCCCTTCAGGTCCTGCCTGGCCTGCTCCCTTCTGTCCTGCATCACCCTGAACACCAAAAGATTGATTAGAAACTGTACCAGGTGTCAAACATCAGGACTCGCGTAAAGAATTAGAAATTGATCCATCTCTACATCAGTTTGCAGCAAAGCAGGACTTCCTATTGTAAATGCGTGCAGCCCTGGAACCTACGTGAGCTCGTGCAGCTTGCGGCTCTTCTCCTGATCGGTGGACTTCAGCTTCTCGTGCTCCACCCGGAGCCTCTCCTGCTCCAGCATGATCTTCTGGTTCAGGCTGGAGGAAACAACACAGCTATGATTAGAACCATCCGTGACAGAACATGAAGGTTGATGAAGATGCAGCAACTCATCAGTTCCTCAATGCCATGATCAGTAAATACAATTGTTCTCTAAACTGTTAGCAGCAAAGCAGCGCTGTTTGATATATATTCTGGAGTCTTACTCCTGCAGCTCGGTGATGAGTTTCTCCTTGTTGTCCAGCTCATCTCTCAGGCTGCTGATCTGTTTCTGGTGGGCTTCGCGGTGGGAGTGGATCTGCTTCTCCACTGCCTCCTAAATAGGAAAATAAAGACCGTTTAAAGCATCGCACAAAACTTCCAGAGGCAGATCTAGCTCTGGTTTCCAAAATACTGCCGTTTACTCTAGACTTACCTTCACTTCATTGGCAGTCTGAATCTCATTTTCCTTCTCCATAGCATGAACTTTCTCTGTAAAAAAAAAAATAAAAAGATTTCCCATAAGTTAAAAACGTACTGAAACAATCCTTCATATTGAAACACCTTAAGATTTTATGACTTAACAGTTTTTTAAAGCTGTTCTAAGAACAACACAAACCTAACATGCCTCTCATTAAAGAATCCATTTCACAATAGGATCTATGAGCTTTCTTAATCAGCCAACCAGCAAAAAAAAATTCAAATAAATCACATTAGGAGAACCTATTCTAAATTTTGTTAATTTCAGCACTTTCTAGGATCCACACTGAGAAGAACAACAAATAAACTCAACCAGTGCAAAGGTAAACAATTGTATAACTGACTATAAAACCTCAAACTCAATGCTATTCCTGACATTTTGAATTGAAAAATCTTACTGGATGGGAAGTGAAACGTCTTCAAACTTGGAAACAAAGTCCAATGGATTGTTTTTTAACTTTTATTTGGAATATTACGCAACGTCCAGACGTGTTGTATTCTGCTCTATAATCTTATTCAGATTAAACATAGTGTCTACACACACAGATTACAAAAAGCCAAATTCCTTAATAATTTACAGGCCAACCTTTCCCCATTTCCTATTTTTAAGTATTCTGATTATTTTAAGAGGCCTTGATAATGAGGCCTCAGCCTCTGGAAACACCTCAGTGACACCTCTTCCTGGTTAAACATCATGGAAGCAATTCCCAGATGCCTGAAGGTGCAGCACTCATCAGTTCAAACCATTATATGCAGGTATAAACATTACGGAAACGTCCAGTCATCAAAGTTTTAATGAGGGAGATGTTTTCTGCTTCTCAGAGACTAACATGTTTTACTGCAAACTGAGTTTATTAACCAAAGAGAAAAAAAAAAAAAGATATTGTGAAGATGTTGCCTGGACTCTCCTCCAAGAGTTCCTGTACCATCAGTGACTGACAGACCACTCAAAGAGGTAGAAACCATCATTCTACATTCAGCATAAAGTGCAAAATGGTAAATGCAATAAAGGACAAACACATGTCCTGTTTTATGGAGTTAAAAGTAAAATGTTTGCCCGTATGGACCTTTGATACACTTGGAGGAAAGAGGAAGAAACTCCGGTGCAAGAATACCAACTTTAAAGCACAAGGATGGCGGTAGTATACTGTGGAAGGGATTGTTGCATGTCAATAAATAGGTGGAATTATAAGAGAAGAGTTTTATGAGGAAAAGTTGGCAAACAAACTGGGAACACCCACAAAAATGCCACCAAACTGCATTAGCACTTAGTTTTAGACACCGCTAAAAATCACATTCTGCGTCACCAGAGTTTGGTTTCTATTTCACTTCGTCTATTCTAATAAGCAGGTTCGACACTAGATCAGTCTGCAAAACCTGCTCTGAGGCAGTGAAATAAACAGTTCTGGGCTCTGGATCAACTGGTTAAATGGAAAAAAACACACAGATGATCCTAAAGGCATTTGAACCTTGTTCTTAGCTAAAAACGTACCCTGAGCACTGAGCTTGACGAGCTCCTCGTTCAGCGAGTCCACGTTCTCCTCCAGCTGCCTTTTCTTATGCTCCACATTCTGAAGGTACTCAGTCAGGGACTTGATTTTAGCCTCATGCTGCAAATGGACACAAAAAAAATCCACATTTTCAGGCTATGTTCAAGAAGCTAAAGGAAGACTGATTTACACCAACATCCAGAAATCAGTAAGGACGTTGTGGTGAGTTTTAAATACCTGGGAGATGCGCAGCTGACAGGCAGCCAGTTCTTTCTCATTCTCGTCCATCTTCTTGTTGCTTTCAGACTGAACGCCCTCCAGCTGCTTGCAGCGCTTCACCATCGTCTTCACCTCGGATTTCAGCTTGCTGATGTAGAGACGGGCCACTGTGAACTCCTCGTCTATCAGACCGCTGCCGCTCTCATGTTGCTGCAACACGCAGAAGGAGATTAAGAACCATCTTATGCTAAGAAATAGAAATAAAGTCAAACATGAATCTGGGTACCTTTATGTCATTGCTGCCCACAGCAATGCCGATTTCAGCCAAGTCTTTGAGCAGCGATGACATCATCTCCGTCACCCTCTTCTTCTGGTGGTTGGACATTTCCTTCAGCTTCTGGAGCTCAGAGTCCAGAGAGGACAAGATGGACTGCAAAGAAACGCCAGATTATGACTAAAATATCATGAAAAATATCAGTTGGACATTTCTTTATCTTCCTTAAATGTTACTGAAAGAGAAAAAAAAAATAAATAAAAACAACTTTTTAAAATGTTTTAATTGTAAATTATCTAGCAATTTTACACAGAAATCAGCAGCAAGAGAAGAATAAACCAGAAAAAATCATAAAGATACACATCCTGGAAATGAAAACTTTTAAAGCACCTGCTAAGAAATGATTCAGTTTGGTTAAAATCGAAGAACTACTTTTTTTTTTTCTTCCCATAAGGAACTGACTTCACTCTTCTGGTTTATTGCAGCTAAACTACAATCCATTAAAGAAAACTGAAATCTTACAGATTTCTGACTGAGCTCATCGCTGATTGTCTCGAACTCCTTGGTTTTATCCTCCACCTCCTGGCTCTTCTGGTCGTAGTTGACAGCCAGCTCCTCCAGGGCCTGCAGCACTTCCTTCACCTCCTCCTTGGAGGCCTCGTTCTCCGTCTGAAGGCGGTTCAGCTCTGCCTGCAGGTTCTCATGATCCCTCCGGGACGAAGCCAGCAGCTGAACAAGGCAGCATGAACAATTAAGGGTTTTTCCCCTTACTTGCACATTTTACTTTCTTATAATTTCTCAAACTCCGAAAAAAAAAACAAAAAAAAAAACCTTTGCTACAGTTTGGTCTAATAAACATTTCTGTTTTCTTACAGGTCAGAAAAAGTGTTTAATTGAAATAAATAAACCAACTTAAAGCAAAGGCAGCTGTGACCATTTCCAATGAATGTCATAAAACTACAGCGATCATGACCCCCCCTCTGCCTCTAGAACTCACCTCCTCCTGGTCGAGCATCTGCTGCTTCAGCTTCTCAACCAACTGGCTCTGCTGGTTGATCTCTTCATCCTATAAAACGTAAGACATAAAGCTAAATTATTAATAGGAGGATGAGATAACCAACTCCAAAACAGAGAACAACACTGTCCGTTGTCCACATTTGAGCAAAATTAACCTCATTTAATACCCTCTGTATAATTTAACCATTCAAAATGTAAATATGAATGTTTATTAAAATGCTAAAGAAAGTGAAAACTACTCAAAGCATTCTCCATCTGCAAACCTAAAAAAAAAATCCTGTTAAAGATCACATTTCTTCCAAACATTAAACTTTCAATCAGTGTTTGAACAAAGTGCTATGATTGAGCGGCTTCCTTACAAATGTCCTTTTTGTGAATGATATCAATAAATAACATTTATTGATAAATCAAGCAATCATTTCAACATGATTAGTTCGGCCATTACATAAATGCCTCTGTATTAATATCTCCCTTTTATTGGTCCAAATAATATTTATACCTTCTCAGAGGCCGGCTCCCATTAGCTGAATGCCGCAGTCATATAAGTTACATAACAGCTCTGTGTGTAATGAATGATTCTATGTATATAAATATCTTTTTCATTAGATTCATATGCATATTGACTCCATCTTTAACCTTATTGTGTTTTGGATTAAAGTCTGTACAGTTTAAAAGGAACTGGAAGAAGGGTTAGCATTAGCAAACATTCAATTTCAAAATAGGCATCACAGACAAAGAAATTCTTAAGGCATTTCTTGTTGAATGTGAAGTATTATGCTTTAGGGTGTTTATAGTTTATGCCTGAAAGCATAAATATGACTTTATTCCTCCTGAGTTGCTGAGGTGGAGATTTTAATCAATAATATCTGCTTAGATGAATTCCTAAGAACCTTTTGGATATAGAAAAAGTAACACTTTTAACTTTAACATTGAAGTTAAAGCACAGTTCTTCTGGTTCAGTAAAGGGCCCTGCAGCAGATAGTGAGGGGAGGGGAAGTCCCCCCCCTTAGTCCAGGATTGGTTTCAGAGCTGCTGAAGAAAAAGGAGCCTAAACATTTTCAGAGACTTTCTGACACGTTAATTTAGTTGCTGATAAGGTGATGCATTTTATTTAATTTATTTAAACCTATTTTCTCTATTTAACACATTATCCAGACAGATCGGCTGAAGATTCCAGAAAGATGTGTGATGCTGCCAATGAACCACTTAACCAAATGAACCCCCCATTTCCTTCAGACCTAAACAGGCTTTACTGAAGCACTTCTATAGAACATGTACACAGATCTATAGAATTGTTGCCTTTAGTCCGCTCTACGTCACCTTATCATCCAGCTGTTTGTAAAGCTTGGTCAGCTCAGCCTCACACTTGTCCTTCTCTACGTCCGTCAGACGGACACCGGGGACGTTGGGCGTGGAAGCAGACTTCTCATTGATGATGTTATCCAGGGCCAACACCTCAGCGTTGGCCTTCTCTTTGTCGAACTGCTCCTCCACAGGCACGCTCTCTCCTGGCATTGGGTGAAAGAGAATGCTGATTTAAGAGGCCTGGATACGCAGCATTTAGGCCTGAGTCCACGACCCAGAGGGGCTTCCTTCCTCACCGTTTCTCCAGCGGTTCAGTTCGTTCTCCAGCCAGGTGATGGTGTTCCTCAGGGTTTTGTTCTTCTCCTTCTCCCTCTCGTATTTCTGCTTCCACTGCTCTGCTGTCAGCTCGAT